GTGAAAATCTTATGGCCTATAAGTGATCCGTGGATTTAAGAACTGAAAACTTGGGTCACGTAATAACTTATTACAATTTGAAGAGGTCACATAATTACAGAGGATTAAGTGAGCAGATGTAAGTGACAGGGTGCTGGAATAAATCGGCAACTAAATTTTAAAAGTGAAATGAATTAATACATAATCCATCTTATTACTTGTTCACTCCATGGATTATAAGGAGTTCATATTATTCTATATCTATATTTGTTCTAGCGTCATATCGACTATTAATAAAGACGGACACGGTTTATAAAGTAAGACAATAAGTGTAGTTGCTATATTTATATTTCACTAATTCATTAGTTGAATAAAAATGTTACTAGGCAATACGGAACACAGTTAACGTGAACATGTAAACCGTTTTTTAACAAATTCTGTAAGTTGTAGACCGGCGTAAACATCACAAACCTTTGACGACTTTATTGGATTCATACAATTCTGAAAAACAAACAAATCAGTTGTGAAATAAAGAATTAGACCTAGTTATAAGTATCACATTCAATAAGTACATCAAATAGCAGGTTACAGAATGTACCTATAAGTCTCTTATTTGCAGACAGCGCTAATCATTAGAGATTTCTATTTCCTTTAATAATAATTAATAGGTAATCTTTACAACACACAAATCAATGTTATTTAAAAATTGCTGAAATCAGTTTCGTCACAACAAAGAAGCGTGGTCTGAATTATGAAGAAAATGTTATTCATTAATGTGGCATAAACGAGATATGAATACAAGGAACTTGTGATTCTGCTTCCATTGCTCATTCACTTTTCGTCCCGTTGTCTGCATGAATTACTTCGGACGAGTCAGTCTGTAATACAGTAGGAATTCATGAATTAACTCATGAATAGTTGTTTTTTATTCAAGTCTGTGTCGTAACAAGCACTGGGAATTTATTCAGTGTCTAACCCTTGTATTATTTCGTACATACATCTGGTATTAGCAAGAAAAATTGGTAAGTACCATTTAGATATTACTCGACAATATGCATCATAAGTTTGTTCACATTTTCGTCTGAGACTGTGCATTTCGTTTACAGAAAATTATTCGTCAACCCTATAACAGACACATCATGAATCAATATTAAGTACGACATGGTTTTGTCACCATGCTCAGAAGAGACAGCCATCGTTTCACTTATGAAGATTTTGTGCCTATTTAATGTGGTGTTATACACTGTTCCTGTATACGTTCAGAAAGCCGGTAAAAAAGACTATCAACATCAATTCTTACTCACATAATTTTTCTCTGATACGTTACACAATAATATGTCACTTCAATACCAAACAATGCTACCTTTAGTGCAACTAACCTTTTATGGCTAAATACAAACAATTTATATAATATCCATAGTTAGTTTAATGCTTACTTCTTTCTGATAACATCTTATAAACGACTGCGAACATCTATGTTTGCTGTCACCATAATCAAGGAGGTGAACCATATATAATGCTTTTCACGGCTTATTTTCATGAAAAGTCAATCTGTTTTCTATTTTTCACTAGAAAAATGGTGATTTGACTTGTTTGACCTTGTATTATTAAAAAATAACCATATTACGCCAACTGCATGTTTACTTAGGTGGTGAGCACAAAATACGTCAAACTGCTTATAAATTGAAATAAATACTATCTTCCAATCACAAAGATTACGAGAAGTCACGTATGATGGAAAAAAGGCTGTTAATAGCTGATAAATAACGAAATATAAAATCCACGACAATATGTTACATGTGCGCGAAAACCCGTAAACTAACACGCATAGTGTGCCCACGAAAATGACCGCTGCCTTTTAGACACATACCACAAGGTCAATCAGCTTTCAGTGAAGTAGAAAAACAAGACATCAGATTTCCAAGATCTCATCACATAAGACATGATTAGTTTCCAATATAAAAAACTACAAAAGTGAGCACGTCCTTGATTTATCTCAAGACAAACAAGATAAATAGAAAAATAGGAGACATCAAACTGTTAACCATCACACATAAATCTAGTTTTCAATATATACAATATCCTTATAACAGCCCTGAAAGAACCAACCGAATCTTTTGAGATCGCCTTTTGTCGTTTTAGTACGGTTCCAAATCCTTATTAATGTTTGATGTGCGTCAGTCTAGCTACTCGAGTGTACTAACTCTAGTCATTGTCGTCGTTATTTGAGGGTTTGTTCATCTTAAAGTCCAAGTCAGCCTGTTTGTCTCAAGTCATAAAGGTTTCCGGAACCACCAGCCATCAACTTGTTGGACAAGAGGTTAGCTGGTTGTTATGTGAAAAAGAATACAGAGAAAGTCTGGATGTTGAGAGAATATGTTTGTTTCAAGAGGTAAATAAATAAGTTTATTAGTTACTAAAGCAGACAGAGTGAACACAAGGAAAATTTCGGATGAAAGACAAAACGGAGACTGTAATAAGCAAGTAATGAAAAAATAAATAGGTCTGGTACTAATAACGGTAGATTGGTTAGGAGACATGAATCAGTCACATTAATTCCGAGCCAGAGATATCGTTATATTCGATGTTTTTAGTATCGGTGACTGTGGAGTGAGGACTATAATACAAACGTTCTTTAATAAATACTCCAGTAATTAAATTCACTGGCATATACAGTTCATATAAACACCAAACATTCCCATCATACAGGACGAACATCCGTACTTAAGCCAGAGACCCTAAATTATTTAGTTGTCTTCAATGCTTAAGCGGATTCGTTTCTTCCATGGCCCCCACGTGGGTGGAACTGTTGGCATACTGCCTCTCATATTTTCTGGAGACGCCAAGTAACCAGTCAGAGAACTGAAATTTAAATAAAGCTTCTTCGATCTGGAATCATGAAAGCTTTCTAGAGTAGGACAATGAACAGAGACCTGAACGCCCAAATCTCTTTCAATAATTGAGGTAGGATGATCATCTACTACCCATGCACCTGCAGTTTGGATGTTAGATATCTTTAAAAAATTGTAGATTCACTTCATACATATGGTGTGAAGACCCAAATCCATTTGTACTTTAACTGGTGACAACGAAGATTTATAGTTGCAGTGGACTGTAACCACACGACCTTTGAAGCTGAGCATATGATTAGTGAAAATATTTGTATTCAACAAATGACACGAAGAGTATGTTAACAATGGAGAACGTGGGAACATTCAGTTCAATCCAATCGGATGGCACGGCTCAGCCTTGCAGACAGTGTCATTCTGTATAACTTGTCTTTACATTCAATATATTATCCTATCGTTAACTTAAATGTACTAGATGAGCACAAATGAGAGCATTGTATTTGGTATTCCTAATCATCCGTCAACTCAGTAAAAATGAGTCATTAGTTCGTAAAAATACCACAATATTATGGTTAACATGATTCATCGTTGAGATAGCTTATTCAAAAGACATAATGTACCACTTTGTTTTTTATCAGCGTTTGCCGATACCTACATATCCTAATTATCACTTGTGGAGCACAGGCTTCTGACTAGCAATCTCCAACTTACTCGGTCTTGAATTTAGTTGATGGTCGTTGTGTTTTATTTCAGTATCATGATTTTTCCCTTGTGCATGCTGAGATTTGCTGATGCAGAGATTGCTGCGACACTAGTTGTCTGCATTTGCATTTGTTCATATGCATCGGATAGAAGAATCAGACTTTTTGCGAAGTCCAAATTTTCTAACTGATTCCGAGGTGTCCATTGTAGTCCGTGCTTCCTCTCAGACGTAGAGGTTTTCATAATCCAATCAACCACTAGAAGAGAAAGAGTAATGGTAAGCAGCGTTGTCTGACACCTGCCTTCATTTTGGATGCATCTGTCAATTGTATTCTACACAGGAATTAGCAGTGTAGTACGTCGTATGAATTTTGGATGATGTTGATGATCTCAGGCACACCATAGTGTCGAACAAGGTTCCATTAGGTTTTTCTGTTCACACTGTCAAAATCTTTCTCATAATCAAAGGAACTGATGTATAGCAACGAACTCCATTCAATTGATTTTCCATTGATTATCCGTAGTGTTTCGATTTGGTCGGTACATCATAAATTATCACGAAACACAGACTGCTGATCTTCGAAGTTGGGCATCTACTGAACCTTTCATTCATTTCAGCAACACTGTTAAAAAAGTATCCTGATACTAACAGTAGTGTGATCTCTCTGTTATTCTCACATTTGCTCACATCTACTCTCTTTGGTACTTTGATGCGTTGGCTTTCCTTCGAATCTGTCGGCATCTGCAGTAGATGAATTTTTATATTTTCAAAAATATAGTATACGATCAGGATGAAAATTTATCACTATTTTCCTGATGGGAATATATATATATATATACGATTATTTTTTGTGTTGAGGAGGGATAGTCTATTATGTTAAGCAATGATAATTGCAAAAGCGAGGAAGTGGAGAAATTGTCACGGGTGTGTGTCTGTCAGTGTAAGCAGAAAATCTGGAGTACACAAATACTTATTTGGGAGATGATATTTACTAGATCAAGTCAAAAAGATGAGAATCGTCATAAAATTCATTGGCGATTGGTTAAGATACGTATGAGGAAGAGTAAATTGGCTAAGTTTAACCGCGTAGTATGTGGTCCTGCTTTGTCCTATCAGAGGTTCCTCATTAGGATACAAGAAGTAATACCTTAGGGATTCCTCATATATAGGTGAGTGATGATGAAATTTCATTTCCCCCCACCATGTAAAGATTCTTTTTATATAAATTAAACCGACATAACCTTTTGAAATATCGGCACAACTGTAAACTGTTGTACCACAGAAGTGCTAGAGGAAATGTACCAAATCTTTTCGATAGATAATAATATAAATTTTCCATAATTAGGATACTTCACTGAGCAACAATAGTCGATATACAACATATTCAGTTGCTTTGGCTTTCTACTAATAATAACTGACATCAAAGTTCATATTTGTTTCTATGAATCAGTTCCTGTTCGTTTGTTATCAGAGGCGTTTCGAACAACTTATTTACGCTTCCTTGATTTGTGTTTACTATCACTATTTTCAATGAAGTGATTGTAACAAGAATTTTCTAAATCATTTCGTTCGAAAACAAAATTCTGCTGTTATGCTTAAGAGATTATAGCAAACTGAATCGTCATCATTAATCTGACTAATTTACACAATAACTTGAAGATGGTGAGTGTCCTTGTGACAAATCTCTCCTCGAAAGGATTTTTATAACCTTTATTTAGTTAACTGAAGTATCGTCTTCAAGTTGACCAATTATTGACTCGATGATAATTACCAACACTGAATAGTATGTATATGGTGCTATAACTTTTCAGCATGATCGTGCTGAGACAACATAACATCTATAGAGCTTTAAGTGTACAATACTATTGAATAAGCGAAGAACAATATGTGATCTACTCGGTTTCTGCTGAAAATGTCATTTTTGATTATGCATTTAAGCCTCAAACAGAACACTGAGCATAATCAGTCAGTCAGTTGGTATCAACGTATAGTTTAGTACAGATATGCTTTGTACTATCTTACGGAGATGGAAACATACACTTTTATTCAATGTCGATGAAAAAGTCTTACTTAATATCGGTTCATTGTTTGGTACATTCTCAGCAATTGTCTTGAATGCTTTATGTAACAACCACATCAGTTGAATTATTTGACGAAAGCTTATATTTGATAATGTTCCTAGTTTTCAACTTCACATCTGATGTCGGTAATTCCTTTGTTTGGTTGAAATGGCCGTATACTTTTTATTTAAAAAGTGCTACGAATCGAAGTTAAGGTACTATGTAAACAAGACAACGATAATAAATGAATAAGTCTAAATTCAAAACCAGCTGTATGGTTTCACAATATGAACTGACAATAAATTGAATCAAATAGTAAAACATTCAAAACTTACTTTGACTCTAATAATTATGTACTATAGTACATAACATACACTGATGATGAACATATATGTTCATCATCAGTGGGTAATAAAGTGAAAAAAACTAATGATCAAGTAGTTGATAACGAACAATAACAAAGTGAGAAAATGAGGCCTGTCTGTTGCAACTGACTTGAAAAGTTCGGATGTATATGGAGTGAGGGGGCCTTACTTTTACCGTATACTTTTAACCCACGTAGAATCTTACTTAGAGATTCAAGTGTACTCTTATTAGTATCTAAGTGAAACGCTGTGAAAAATCAAGCGCCAACATAGTCTGTTTTTGCAAATCTACATCGACTGACTCGAAGCTGCAAAAAATAGTATCAAAATGTTTGGTGAATTTACGAGTCAGTACAATTTCATTTTGATACACCTTAGAGTGTTGTAAACTAGATACATTTTAGTACTTTATATCTGCACCAAACCATCAAGCGTTCAATTCCAAACTCTCGGTATTCATTTCATCTAACACCATTTATGAATAGTTTTTGTGACATGTCCGCATATCTAATCTCTGATACGAAATCCCGCAAAGAATCAATGTTCCGAAATTCGTAGTGAAATTTAGAAGTCTAATTGGGCAGTAAGTTTCAAAACGCCGACCGACCTATAGCTCTCAATTTCTTCTAACCGATTTTCTTACCAAGCTGTTTACTACATTTCTAAAAAAACAACACAAACAAAACACTATAATCACAGCGGAATCATCGTGTTTTATTTTATTCATGAAAATAACAACGACAGAAATATCACTCTTAACAGTTGGGGTTTTTTGTGTTTACTAGTGGAAAATATTTTGCTCCTATGGAATCTAGTGGCATAAGGGTGTAAGTGCCTTCAGTACTTATCAAATCTCGGTGTAATATGCAAATAATTAAGGTCTACGAGCAATTTTTTATGTCATTCAGAATTATATCACTTAATAACTTCACAATAATTGTAGATCTGGTCTTATCTTCTTTTCTGTTTCAGATTTGCTGGATACAGTCATCACAATTTTGACATAATGAATCTCTCTCTTGTCCTTTTTGCCTGTCTAATTTTATTCATTGAACGTCAATGTCTAGTCACTGCCCAAAACAATGGTGACGATAGTTCAAGTCCATTTCGTTGGTTTAAACCAGACAATTTTGATATTATTTCACGTAAAATGGATCAAGCCAATCCAAATAATTGTGAAACAATGTCTGAAGCTGATTTACGCTTACCACCAACGTCACTCAGCCAGATACCACAATATAATGAAATCCCAATGAGACAGTGGTTTACAAATCGCTCAAAACTGCTACATCTACACAATTTAGCATTAAACCGTGCATTTTTCTATAGTTATATTTTGCAGAGGCTAGATCACCCAACCAGAGATCCTCAGTATTTACCATCATTAATGTATTATTATCTGTCCTCATCAGCCGATATATCTTCAGGTCCCAATGTCATAAATATAAGTGGTGTATTTATGGATACGAACACAACGTACGCAAATTGGTATGAACTCAAAGATATTAACAAGACCTTACCGTTATTCGCACCATTAGCCAGACGGTTAGATAACTGGAATGATGAAATGAATTTTTTGAGAATACCAACTAATGCTACAATTGAAGTAAGTGAATTGTTAATAGAATAGCTCTGTTGTACTGCTGACATTTTTAAATGTCGTTTAAATTTCATCAATAGGTATGGCACAACCATCACATTTGATTTTATAATCCAGATAGCACAAAGCTATATAAAGGTTGAATCTGACAATATTGCGTAAAGATTTTCGATCACACCTCTATTAATGCAACATCCAGTCACTAACCTCGTTTTCCTGTATCAAACAAATTGCTCATTAAGATAGAAAACGTAGACAAATGCTCACTTCATATGACGTCCTACTGTACTTGCCTATTCACGTTGCCATATCAAAGGACTTACATTGAAAAAACAGAAAACTGGATCCTTTCTCGCACCTCAAAGCTCACTCCATGAAAATGTACGTTAGAAAGCCTAGTGTTTTTGTCTGTGCTCGTCGTTTGCTTGATAGTCAATACAGTGTTGATATTTTAAAACCATTCAGAATGATTAATATCATAACTTCAGATTCACTGCTCCACATCGACAATATCATGATTAAAAGGTTGAATCCCCACCTGTCTACCCAAAGGGATGCTGTTTTGAACCTCTCATTAACCTGGTAACTTCTATTGTCCACCATTCGATTACATAATATGTTATTTAATACCCTTAATACCAAATTGCTTTAATGACTAGATCGTTGTAAAGCAATACTAATCTTACCCTGCTAATATTTCCGACTTCGTGGTTGTATTTACGCGTCTTTGGCATCCTTTTTCATTCTCTAGAAATGTGTCTCAATATGCTGTAAAATGTTTCTTATGGAACTTCTCCACTTAGTAACATACGAGTTTTCGTACACTTTACCGTTCCATAATTCTTTCATAATTGTTATCGTTTATTTACTACTCTTCAAAAATATGATAAGAAGTATGTACCAAACGAGAGTCCACGAAATAAACGGATTCATTGTATTCTACTAAGCTTGTTGTTTTTGCTTTAGTCAAAATAATTTATGGGAAAAATTATTTCTTATTATCTAACCCTTGTTGCTACCTTGACGTGGTGGTCGGGCTTGACTATCGTGATGAAGCAACCGAGCTATACTGGCTGGAACAACCGTTCCTCAAGGTCCTACCATGTCAGACAGGTCGGTTGAAGAGCGGTAAGACTAAAAGCAACAAACCCAAGGTCCGAAGGCGAAGTCGTACTGCTGACTGTACAGAGGTGTGACAGCAGTAAGGTGTTTCCTTCAGACAACCAGCATGACAGCGATGCTGCCTTCCCACAAGGAGGGGTGAGGTTAGAAAAGCTCGACCCTAAAAATGCACACCTCACCTTACCTCACGGATTTCCGTCTTCGGCGGTAAGGCCCTTTGAAGAACGGAGCTAACACGTCAAAAACCTCCCACGAAAAGGCCGTGCGCGACCGGCCTCAAGCAGCTGTCCCTTGGGCACTGCGGTCACGCTCTCAAGTCGCTGAGACCACCTCTAATCCAATTTCCTTTTCAGGTACCTCCAGAAGAACCCTTCCTCGGTGTGGGCAACCGGGAAGTGATAACCGCCCTCATACCTCTAACAGCACCCAAGACCACTGTATTCATAATCAACCTTCCTCTTCAATTCCTATTATTCTTCCTACATCGACTTTCAACCCTAAACTTCCTCCTTCGGCTTCCTCCTCAAGTGTCACCGTAGCCAACGATTCTAGTGCTCAAAAATCTGTCCCAGGTCTACTGAAACCTCGCTCCAAACTACACATTGGAGCTTTCAACGTACGCACTCTATGTCAAATCGGTCAGCAGGCTTCCTTGGCTAATACCCTAGAGTCTCTTTCCATTGATGTATGCTGTGTCTCCGAAACACGCATACAGGATTCCAGTGTGGTCATTCACTTGACCTCACCTCGGCAAAACGGAGAGCCAACGAGATACACCCTACGTGTATCTGGTGACCCGATGGCCAGTTCTCGTGGACTGGCAGGTGTAGGCATAGCACTAAGCATGAGGGCGGAACAAGCACTGTTAGAGTGGATCCCCGTCAATAGTCGTCTATGTGCTGTTCGGCTAAACGGCTCCGTAAGAACTCGGAAGGATAGGGACACACGTCGTTGCCTTTTCGTCGTTTCTGCCTACGCTCCCACTGACTGCAGCTCAGATGATGTGAAAGATGAATTTTACAGAAAGCTGTCCGAACTTCTCCAGAAAGCTAAACGCTCAGACATAGTACTCGTAGGGGGTGACTTTAATGCTCAGATAGGTAGCTTAAACCAAACAGAAAGGCATTTAGGTGGATATTTTAGCATTCCGGCTCAGCGAACAGATAATGGTGACCGTCTGCTGCGACTGTGCTCAGACAATCGCTTATTTTTAGCAAACACAAATTTTAAGCATAAGGAGATACGTCGTCTAACATGGCGACCGCCTGCACCAAGCCAACGATGGACTCAAATAGACTATATTGCCATCAGTCATCGTTGGAGAGGGTCGGTACAAGATTGTCGCTCATTCTGGAGTACCTGCTTGGACCCTGACCACGCCCTAATACGGGCACGCATCTGCTTGCGCCTCACTGGACGCGAAAAAGCCACAGTAAAAAGACCCATTCGAACCGAACTGAGTAGCGAGGAAACCAAAAGTAGGTTCCAGGAACAACTGAGGTCACGATTAGGTAGTTCTGAAAACGAGGCTGACCCAAATGTTGCTTGGAAAGATATACAAGCAGCTGTGGAAGCAGCAGTGACATCTATTAGCGACTTAAACCACAGAGTTTCAAAGAACCAGTGGATTTCTTCAAAGTCTGTCACACTGATGAATTCTCGCAAACTCGTCCCATCAGGTTCCGAACATGAGGAAGAGCGACAACAAATCAGATCTAGGTTAAACAAAAGTCTCAGGAACGACCGTGAGCAGTGGTGGGCATCGAAAGCAAAAGAGATGGAAAAGGCGGCGACTATAGGGAACACAAGACAGCTTTACAGACTAATAAAAGAAACTGGAATTAATAAGTCAAGTGTAAGTGAGATTATTTCGGAAAAAGATGATACTCTCATCTGCTCCCAGTCCAGACGTTTAGAACGATGGGCGGAACATTTCGGAGAACAGTTCAACTGGCCTTCAGCTACTCTACAACTACCCTCCATTCCCAGACAGTGTGAATGGAACATTGAGGTAGGTCCCCCAACTCTAGCAGAAGTCCAAAAGGCTACAGTTAATCTGAAACGAGGAAGGGCAGCTGGCCCAGATGGATTGGCACCAGAGGTCTTTAAGGATGGTGGTCCAATTTTAGCGATTAGGTTGACTAATATTTTAGCTAAGATCTGGGAGTTAGACGTTATTCCATCTAACTGGTCACAATCACTTATCGTCCCAATATATAAGAAAGGGTCAAAATCATCCTGTGACAACCACAAAGGGATTAGTTTAACTAATATAATATCTAAAATACTAGCCTCGATAATTATCAGACGCCTAACTAAGACTCGTGAACTGCAAACACGAGAGACTCAGGCTAGCTTCAGAACTGGTCGTGGCTGCATCGACCACATATTCACCATTCGTCAGATTCTAGAACACAGGCATACTTATCGGCGTCCGACAATGGTGGTCTTTCTTGACTTAAAAGCAGCATTTGACTCGGTAGACCACGAGATTCTGTGGCAGTGTCTGTCATCGAAAGGCGTACCTCAGAAGTACATAAACCTTGTAAAGGCTCTTTACTCGAACACTACTAGTCGAGTCAGAGCTTATGGCGAACTGTCATCTACTTTTGCAACCTCAAGTGGTGTTCGTCAAGGCTGTCCACTTTCCCCATTTTTGTTTAACTTCATCATAGATCTACTGATGGAAATAACACTCTCGTCGACTGAGTTCTCGGGTATTGATCTCCTACCAGGAGGTCCACTAATCGACTTAGAATACGCAGATGACATAGTCCTGTTTGGTGAAGACGCTGACAAAATGCAGAGCCTTCTGGTAGCAATGAGCAACAATGCCAGGATGTTTGGAATGCGCTTCTCTCCCTCTAAATGCAAGTTGTTGCTTCAGGACTGGTCTGCGTTAACACCTGAACTAAGGATAGGGAGTGAAGTAGTCGAACGCGTTGACAACTTCACTTATCTTGGAAGTCTGACCAGCCCTAATGAGTTGGTATCGGACGAAATCTCAGCACGGATTCGGAAAGCTCGATTGGCTTTTGCCAACTTGCGTCACCTATGGAGAAGGCGAGATATCCGTCTATCAATAAAAGGACGAGTATACTGCGCGGCAGTCCGTTCTGTTTTAATTTACGGCAGCGAAACATGGCCATTAAGAGTAGAAGACACTCGTAAGCTATTAGTATTTGACCACAGATGCCTTAGAAATATTGCTGGCGTCTGCTGGGATCACCGGGTAAGTAATAGTGAGGTCAGACGCCGAGTATTAGGAAATGACGGTAAATCAGTTGATGAGGTTATGAATCTTCATCGACTGAGATGGTTGGGCCACGTGTTACGTATGCCTGAACACCGACTACCACGACGTGCAATGCTATCCGGTATTGGAAATGGTTGGAAGAAAGTTAGGGGCGGCCAAACCAAAACGTGGCATCAGTGCTTGAAGTCACTAACTTCTAGTCTGAGCCATGTTGGTAGATGCAGACTACTTGGTTGGGGTCCGCGTGACTATCGTAACCAATGGTTGGAGACTCTTGGTGACATGGCTCAGAATCGATCACAATGGCGTCGGTGTATACACTCTCTGTTTTCCTTTTAACTAAGAGATTAAAATCGCCTCATAACTTTCTTTCTACGATCCAATTCTTTCTTCTTGTACTATATCTCTATATGCAATCTTTCTCTTATATATTACTACCTTTGACCTAACCACTGCTATGAATCCGGTGTTCATCTTGTTGTGCTGATGCGGTATGGCAACCTGGACCGATGCACATATGTGCCTGGTCCTACGTTGTAGCTGACTGACTGACTGAACCCTTTGATAATCTAACAATTAAGTCTTGTGATCAAACGATGTCAATCATTCGGTCACATTGGTAACGAAATCAATATCCTTTGTTTCTAATTTATCTAACACATTTGATAAAATGAATTTCTTTCAACCATGAGTGAGTGATTACATATGAAGGTGGTTAGATTCCTATGAAGTTAAGCTTTGATAATAGAACTGTAAGGTATCTAAATAACGAAATAATCACATCGCACTTATTTTGGGCTGAGTAAGTTAATGGTAAACTAAAACTGATGACTTATCATTTGCGGTATATAATTAGGAAAGGATCATTGATTGGTGAATGCAAACTCTTTGAGATAGATCAGGTGGTATTTATGGTACCTCACAATAAAATCAAAATATAGTTTAATTTACACTAGGTATTTATGCGATAAATCGTATTGTGGTTTAAACAGATTTATTCACCAACTACAATAAACAATGTGAAAATCTAAAATGTAATCCAAATTTTATGAACTGACTATATCCAATTATTGTTCAACAGCCAAAGTCTCTAAAAATGATTTTGTCACAATGAACTAGGAATGAGTAGTAGTCCACAGTCTATCGTTTTCGGTTTTGTCAGTAATTGATGTGATTGCTTGTACCAAATAGAAAGTAAATATGATTCATACATACTTCGATCACCTTTCATTTGTCTAAGATTTTTAATCACTTTTTTAACTCAGCCCACGTCTTATTGTTTAACATATTCTAAACATCAGATAACTGATCTTGGAGCTGGCCCAAATAATAATTATACAGCATCATGGTATAAAAATAACCCATATATACGTGATCGTGAAATGGGTATAGACTTTATTCCTGATAGACGTGGTACAGCACCTAGTAAAAACCAATACACTACAAAAATACAACTTGCAACTATAAGCGGTGATCCAATAGAAAAGTTGGAGAATACCAAATTCTATGGTCCAAATGCTCCAGGTGTTAAAGAAACTTTTCTACCTGTTCGATTTACTCGTCCTTATTATGATTGTGGGGGAACAAATCGATGGATTGTAAGTTCTGTTGCAGCACTGACAGATTTTATGCCACGTTACTCAAATATTACCAGACTGCGAGGACCAAGGTAAGTAAATGGAGACTCTAAACTAGTATTTGTATGGCCTGAAATATATGGCTTTACTTTTGTAGCAGTGAGCAGAATGTTTTTTACTCTAAAACACCGAGTTTAATTAAACAAAGTGATCAAATGAACAGTGTTCACTCCAGACAGTATCAATTTTATAACACGAATGATAGATTAGACAAGATTATATTGGCTACTATCAAGTGATTTATGATACTGTCTACATTTTCAATACCTTGGTAATGACACCTACTGGATAATATCGTTTCCCTCGAAATACCAGGCCTATCTTGTGAATAAATACCATCTAGCATGAAATCAGGATTAACAGCTTCGTCTTACTTGGTTCTGTTCACTTATGATGAAGGCAAATATTACGTAGTGTTTCGTCACTTAGTCGAGTAGATGCATCGCAGTTTGTATGAAGTGTATCAGAGTCTTTGGAACTAAACAAAATGATAGTAGTAACTAAAAAAATGACAAGTTCGTGTGTGTGATTTAGGTCAACAAAAAGTATCATTTAAGCGTTATTGAAACTGACATCAAAAGCGAAAAAATAAAATGGTATCATTAATGTCCTAAATCACTACAATTCTAATATATTAACATCAATGAGTGTGACAGAACTTTAGTATTTAACTATAAGTTTTATCGACGAAAATATAAACTTTCTTTCTAATGCGAAGTTATACCTCACTTGTCAGTTGAAAAAGACGAGTATCCTTCGTAGATTATAAATTTCACTGGTTATTTCCAGACTCACTTGACAATCTTCACTACACATAAGAGCTATTAAAGTGATTTATAGTCAGTATTAAGCATACATTTTACGTTGTAAGTTGGAGTTGGCCTATAATGATAAAACATATCATTATTATTATTGTTTTTAAGTAGTATAAATGCAAATTTAATTTTTTGTATTAAATTATCCTACAAAGTAAAACATGACATGGATTTGTTACTATTCAGATGCTTGTCAATGAACTCTTTTTATAAGTCACAGATCAGGGCAAAATAACATTTTTGTATTGCATGACCCTCATCGGTTCTTCAGTTGATGTTCAAATCTTGACAAAACGATCTATAAACTTGACAAAATTTTCACAGACCATCAAATTAAGCATAACTCTGTCGCGTGATATTTTATCATTTATTTTTCAATTAGAACTAAGTTGTGAAAGCATCTTTTACTGAGAATTCCTAATTGTATTTCAGTAATTAATTGACAGTGATATAATTTTTTATCGCTTCTAAGAAACAATCCCATGAAATCATAGTCATACTGTTGTGAAAGAGAACGCAGTTGGGGACAAGTAATTGTATTTTAATACAAAATTACGGAGTACTTTCATCAAATGTTAAAACCATACGTTCAGTTCGTCATTTGCAAATCCTCTATCAATTGTCTCAAACTTCATTGTTCCTTTATCGCCATAACTATTACTATCTGTTTCCTTTCTCTTTGATCCGATCATCTCAACCTTCTGTTGCCAGGTTTTTTTACCTCCAATTGGTGTTACATATTACTTAAGTCTGTCGACATAAATATCACACACCACAATACTTGTTTACCAGTTGTTTTATACTGTGATAAGAGATCATTTTCCAAGATTGAATAGCTATATCTGAATATATCACAAACTAGTGTGTTACTTTGTTATAAATTTATCTAATGGCTATTAGTGGATTGTTTCAATTAAAAGACCAATCATACTTAAAAGAGAAAACTGTGTTCAAATTTGAAATTTAAACTACTAAAAAAGTGATATAGCATTCCAGTCAAGCTTATAATTACTTGCTAAGATTATAACAGATGATACAACTGGGACGTAGTGAAGAGTCATGATGAAACCAGAAACAAAGAATTTACTAAGATTATATGTTTACAATTTTCACTAGTTATTTTTGCCTTTTTAAGTGCTTTCATAATGTCTAACCTCTTTTTGTTATCTGTAGAATGATTGGTGTTGTTGTACAAAGTATGGACTTTTACCGAATTGATTTTAATCCTTGCCCGCCAGGATTGGGAAATCCAAATCATTATTTGGCTGGAATCGCTCGATGCAAACCAACAACTTTGGTATGTTTAATATACTGTAATGTATTATTTTTTGAAAGAATATCAGCTACTGATAAGTAGTGTAATATTTTTAGGTAAAAGTTTCATGACATGTCGGCAGAATATGTATTCTGAAACTATAACACATTAACAAAGTTTATTCACTCACATATAATTTCAAAGCTAGAATAATTAAACGTATCCTATCCGAAACCGATACCTTAGGGGAGACAAAGGTAATTATTTACATATATGCCAGTTAATTCTATTGAATTATGTCGAAAACAGGGATATGTCAAGAATAATCGGAACTCGGTATTAAACCATAGTGAATAGAATAATTTCGTCGGGGACATATGCTTTTATATAAATTACCTTAGGTGGCTTATGAATATTAGTCCTTGAGCTAAATGGAGTATCATTTGATGGACAGTTACACTAGCTAAACGTTTTCTTCAGGATTCCAGAAGTATTTCACCCAAAATAGAAATAACTTTTAAGACTGGAATAATTAAAACATTAGATGGTGAATTTCCTTTTCCGTCTAGGTTTTAGCACATCAGAAGTTTAACTGAGTAGGTTTGGTAGTGCTAAGAATAATGCTTTTCACATGTTAATGATAATCGACCTGTTGAGAATCGAATACGTTTTAAACAATTAAATTCTGATACAAATGATAAATGAAATGACTTTTTCTAATGAATTACAAACAGTTGTTGAGATGTTCCAAATAATATTATCCCGTGCTCATAGATTCCTTTGAAATTAAGTAAAGACTTCAGAAAGCTACTGATTTTTTAACCTAGAGAACCGAAGTCCATGAGGAAATAACCTGTTATTTTGAATGCCACTCAATCAAGGTGTCATACATCGTTAGCACGACTAGATGAAATTAATGTGATGAAGAGTGAAAAATTTGAAATAAGTAAGAGCAGTGATAATGGGAAAGACTAAAGTTTAAAAAATACTTTTTAAGAAGAATGAATACTGACATTGACAATCTAGGGAATGATGAAGAGTATATGCATCTGAGCAATTGTGTTCAACTCTGAGTCACGCCACCTAAAGCCTTCAGTCGTTGATGATGATTATCTCGTAAGCCTTAACCAAGTAGTCTATATCTATCAACATGGATCAGATCAATAATCTATGATTTCATGCACAGATTTTGCTTTACCCGTCCCTTGTTTCTTTCTAATCCGTTCTTAAATTGAATATTGGGTTAATAGATGATAATTGAGCATACGTAACATATATTTAAAGCTAATTTCTTCATATTTTATGTAAAACCTCTCATTTAAAATATCTGAGTTTAGAAGATTAAATATTGATACCATTCACTGATACTTTAAAAATGATTTTCATCAAACATCATTTTTCTCTACTTGATCCATAAATCAACTTATGATTTTAGCGATCAACTTTCAATAGTTTTATTTTCTTTAAAGTCTAATAAATACTACTAATTGAAATCATTTTAAGAATTTACCTTAATAAGAAGGAAGAAGAAGAAAATAAAAAGACGAAATCAAATCAAAACTTACATACTTTTAAATAAACTATTGTTTTTTCTTTTTACTGAGTGTTTATGGGAAAGTTATGAATACATTAATTAATTAGATTATAAATGTGATAAGTTTCATTAGTTTATTGATGAGAATATTGTGAAAAAAATGCGAAGTAGTAGTAGTTGTAGTCGTAGTAGTAACAGTAGTAGTAGTCGTAGGAGTAATAGTAATAGTAGTAGTAGTGGTAGTAGTACATTGTAAGTTGATTCAGTAAATTTTATTTTCTGTAAAATATGATATCACTGATTAAGTGAATAAATGAATTATTTCATCAAAATGGATATGATTTGAAATATGAAGATTCAGCAAGATTATAATTTATAAACAAACTAATCAAATATAAGATAACAAGTCTTGGTTTTTGTTGAAAAATTCATCCGTCCATTTAATTAAATAGATTTTTGGCATCATCACTGATCTCTGTTTGTGATGAAAACCCTAAATCTAGTTCCTAAACCTAATTATCAATTGTAAATTATAATTATAATTCCTCTCACTGCTTTATAACCTTCATTGAGTTAGTCCTAGTTTGTAGATGGACATTCTCAAAGTTACTTTAGTGTTGCTCAAAGGTTGTCCACAAATTGTAGTTTCGCCGAAAATCTCTTTTGTCTTGTTTTGTTTTGTTGGTACGGATCAGGATTGTTGAATCTGTATTATTCACTACAATAAAGACTGAATAATTCATGTTCTATAATATAGTAAATAAGTTTAAAATCTTGATAACTTTCTAGAAATAAAATTAACTTGAAAATGTTATTACAGAGAACATATGGTATCTTAGTAAAGTATTTATTTTTTTCTAATAAGAAAAAGAAACAATGGAATTACCTGCTCTAGTTCATTTGAAAATTGAATATCTTAAATGATAACTTATTCTTTAAAAGAGTATTTAGTGGGGCCGAGATTCTAACTCCAAGTAGATCGTATAAATGATTGATGTCGAAATGTATGTATCACCTATCCTCGTATATAATCATCTACTTAAATCGCCTTAGTCACTAACGGAATTAAATAAGTCAAATAACGAGAATGGATTTTTGAATACACATATTTTGTATATGAAGCGAATAGAATGCAGAGAAGCGAATCGACGCACAATGGAGATGTCGGGTAAGCCAACTCTATTTAGTCAGGCGTTAATCAATATTTTTAGTCACACAAAAATAGGCTACATACATGTGCGCTCATATAAAAATAGTCAACATTGATAAGCGAATAATCAACAAGGTCAAAATATGACTCAAGTAGAGTGAATAGATTGGCCTGTCCGAAAGCCAGAATAAAGTGTATGGGCTTCACATAATAACCGACACTACAAGTATGATAATGATTGATGTTTTGATCGGTTTTTATGGATAACCTCATTGATGAAAACACAATCTACATTTTTTCAATTATCTCTTATCATTAAAAACAGAAAATTTGTCATTTGGATTATATGAATTACAAGTTCTAAAGAAGAATATTCATTTTTTAATCAATCAATAATCTATATACTTCATAATTATGTTCATTGATACATTTATTATTCTCTGTCCTAATTTTATTTTTTATTAGTGTGTACCTCTTCCGGGTTTTGGTTTTAAACGAGGTGGTTATCAATGTGTTTGTCAACCAGGACATCGTTTACCATATGAACAAAATGGACCATTTCGTGGTGTTGATATTGAAGCGGCAACTGAAGAAGAATATCGTAATAATTTTGATTGTATTCCAGTTGGTTGGCGTGAAGTTATACCTGAAGAAACTGGTATGAAAAATAATTTAGAAAGATTTCGTCGTTCAATAGGTCAACAAACAAGTACGCAAATCAATGAACTAAATCAATATATATCTATTTGTATTGACATTATTATCAAAATAAAATTTATTTCGTTGACAAATTTGACTAAGTGTAAACGTGAATTTGCTACTTTCCTCAGGTTTAAGAACTCTTATAACTTTCACCTAATGTTGTGGTGTATGCTACCTCTGTGGACAGATATAAATAGTATGTAACACCAACCAGAAGTGAAGTGCCTAGAAGTAGAAGGTTGAGAAGATTGAATTGAGAATGTAATCAGAGCGTAATTATAAAGGCAATGAAAGAAAAATGAGTTTCTAGACAATTCACGGAAGATTTTAATGTATGGCTTTCACATTTTAACAAAGAACTCTGTAATTTTGCACTAAACAATAATTTGGTTGTCCCCAACTGAGTTCTCGTTCACTACACTAATGTATCTTGATTTTCAATGGCTATCTAACCAAAGTTACTACATGATGTCGAACTTCTAATTTAACAATCCCCATAGTTATCATATTATTGTTAGTTCCTAACTTCAAGACGTAAGTCTCTGAGTTCTAATAAGTAGTCATAACCAGAAGAGTTCAATTATGTCGGAAGTGAAATAAAAATCATCATGAATGATGGTCTCGTGATATTACAAATTAACAAATGTTAGAAATGTAAACTATTGGATGACAGTCAAGCACTCATTGCGAGGCCTGAATGTCTTGAGTTCGATTCCTGTTGGGTTTTAAAAGAGTTCCATACTAAGACAGAACAGTTATTCAATGTTTTCTAGTTTTTAATTACTGTCTAACTAAGGTTAATCCATAATTCAACAATTTACACAGACCCTTACACTAAGTGATTATCTAACTGAATTCAGTGATGAAAATTATCTTTAACTTAAAATAACTTTACCAAAACTGAAATCTCTCTGTCCTGTTATGATTAAAAATCTTTGATATTTTTAATTAATTTCAGCTGAATCAACTGTAAAGAAGGAAATTCTCATTCTTTCATTATTTTGTTTCTTAGGTACATTATGGAATAGATTTAAAGATCCATCGGTTCATTTATTGAACATGATATTAACAAGTAAGCTGAGATTATTTTCGATTGAGTGATTTCACATAATTAGTGCCCTAATAATTTAATCTTTTATATGGATAACCACCACTGAAATCAACGTTTTTAATTACAGAGAAAAAAACATTTTCAAACTCAATCGTTCGAATGTAGCAAATGTTTATTACTCATTACACATTGTCAAAAGTTCTCACGATAGTACATAAGATACGAGCTTGTTTTCAGCATACAGAAACGTTTGTCAATCATGTATCAGTGTTCATCTGTTTAAATCAAATTTAAACCTATTCAACCTACGTTTACAGTGTCTTGGTAATTATTTTACGACCAAATTACCAAGTAAGGATTTTCAGCCTGTTCTTCCATATCGTTGATAAATTCAACATTAGTCAACGGAACTACTAATTAACACATCCGAATATTTTTTTAAATATTTTAACATCACCTCTTTTCTACCTCATTAATCTGACAAATTGATCAGACCGAAAACAGACCGATTTAGTAAACCATGTCTTATCCATGTTCTAATTCCTCCTTAACTGATAAGTTAGAATCACGAATGATACACTTCAAAAATTAGTTCACTAATGATATTGTCCAACCTAGCAAAGAAAGCTTTATAATGAATGATCCAGCTAACAGAATGTAGCACAATTGAAATAAACGTGCCTCTCTATATAGTTCTACCAAACATCACCAGTTTATTAATTTCAGTATGTGTCGAGAAAGAAATTAATATTTGTATATTAAATTGTTTATTTTCCCAAATCTGACTAGCATTTGGATCATTCAAGCAGAATATCTTCCCAACACCACCAAAATTAGATGAATCACTATTAATCAATGAAATATCGGATAAACCATTTAAAACAACTAATTTAGATGATCAACCATTAGATCGTCTTGTTCCTGGATATCGATCAGTCTCACATTTGCTACCATTGGAACAAAACGATTTTAATTTAACGTATACAGAAGATGTTTATGAAGATGGATTTTTTGACAATGATACTTATATACTTATCAATAAACCAAGTAATATAGATAGTAAGGATCAGTCAAATAACATCAAGAAACGTGTACGACGAAATGTTGATACACCATTTTATACAGTTGGAGTTGGTACAGTATTTGATGCAGACAGGTATTTTGAAGTAAGCTGTGCTTTTTGACATAAGAATATGTTCAGAGGAAAAGAGCATCAATTGTATATTACAAACAGTTTACATAATAATAAATTAATACTGCATTTATTACTTCAGAGTAATTCGAAGAAGTAGTTTACACTAAGCCATGAAATGTCAGAGATTAAAATCCCAACTTATTAGGATCATATAAATATATCATTAACTTATTATTAATTCTCTACTCAATGCCAAAAATGGATTCGATTTTATCGTCAACAAAATACTGACAAACATTTTCCTTAATTATTCAAGTGTAATTCACATTCAAACAATGTGAATAAGTGAGAGACTATGATGTTAAAAACCACATAGGGACATCTGGAATTTATTGATCATACTGTAGACAACTTTGATAAATTATCAATATAAGCACTGAACTGCTGTTTCATCCTAGTATAAGACTCCACATATGTGAACATTTACTAATCCAAAGGAGTGTGAGCACTGGATATTCAAATCTTGAAACGAGCACTTAACGTTCAGACGATGGAGTTAATATTCAGTGGTTAACATATATAAATTTAATTTCATTAATTTGCTTTATTCCATAAAATTTTATTGTTTTTACTTTACAATATATATATAATTTTAATTCCTTTTGTAAAGGTTCAACGTTTAATTGCACATGTACGCAAAGTGACTAGTCAAAATTGTCATCTAATGACAGCGGATCAATTAATTTTACCAGGAGAAGTTAGTTATGGTGTTGAGAAACAATTTGAAATGGTTGGAAGAACAGCTCTACGTTTATCACATTTTCTAAGTGCTTATTATCAAAATAATGTTGTTGGTGAACTTTACGGAAGTTTAAAAGTAGGTTTTATGTTGTAAAAGAAGTAAATTAAGTAATTCGACTGGATATATTTCTACTCTTTGGAAAATAAAACCATTTCATGGCCAATCATATCCACTTATCATTAGAAGATTTTTCATTAGCCCGCTGTATTAATTGCATTGTTTTATTGATAAATAATTTATATTCTGGAAATAATTACAGATTACATATTAATTTACAGGAATGTTAGGTTGATGATGTGTTTTTTTTTAATGGAAAATAAAATAAATATTCCATCTTATTAATGATTGATTAAGATTTGTAGACAATAATGTGGGGTTTGAATCATTAGTTACTGAGAGTAAATCACAGTAGAAATGCCAACTTGGATCCAAGTACCTTAATTCAACATTTTCCTTTGTTAGTTTTTCAATATTATACTGAGTAGTTAGATGTTTGTTTGATTTTAATACCTCTAAATTAAATTTTTATTATTCATTAGCTATACTATTTATTATACATCACTAGTATTTTGGAGTGAATGGAGTTATGAAGTTCAGAAGTTATTAAATACTGTATGGTACTCGAAATGTACTGTAGTTTAACTAATATGTTATGAAGCGAGCTGTGACTTATTAGTTAAAATACTCAACTCTCAACTATTAGGTTTCCAGCTTTAATCTAATTTAATACCTTTCTGTTTAAGTAACAGTTATTGTTTACCGATCATATCAGCCACTTTGTACTCACGACTCAAAACACATACAATGATATACTGAAGATTACTGAATACACAGCACACCAAATAAGAAACCATACTCTGAACATAATGGAGTCATAAATGGTAGGTGAGAGCAGACAGCACATAATCAATCAGTAGTCATTAAGTAATAGTGACAGATAAAACAGCAGCTAGTAGGTCCATCAAAACACATTAAGCGGGATACAAAAACGTAGCAATATGGTTATTTACCAATCATTCAATAAAGATTTTAAAAATAATAAAAAAATTGGTAAATAGCTTAGACATTTTCAACTTTCCTAATAATCGCTTTGTTATAACATAAACCATGAGGAAAATGACCTATACATAAAGCGTCTATCCAGCAGCTAGAAAAGACTCATGTTATTGTAGAAAAAAGAAACCACTGCAAAAGACTGGCTTTAGGATAGAGTTATCAATATCCTAGCTAAAATCCATTTCTACATAAGATGTTAGTCAAGTTTAAAATGTCACTGATGGTAATGATATCTTGGATAGTTGTTGATGATTCCTTGGGTTTTATCACATTGTCAAATAATGCAAACTTTCCACGAAAAATCACTGAAGTTAAACAATACTCTCTTATCTTTTATTGTAGACTGGTTTTCCAATTAATCGTTTTCAATTATTTGGTGAAGTTTTTGCCAATGTTTTATCAAATTTTGATATTGTATCAAGTGGAATATTTTTCGATTATCAAATGTTTACTGATCATGATGGTACAACATGGGATCTATTTGCTCCATATGCGTATAAACCACTCTTGGCAACCCAAGCAGCTGAGGCAATTGATATGAGTATAAATGCCTATCGAGACTATACAGAAAAACCATGGTTTCGAACATTGAAGGTATGATTGTTATTAAGCTAGATATTTTATTTAAACAGCTTCGTCAAATTTCTTAAAAATATGATTTGTTTTATGTTAGGGAAAAACACTGCTACATATTTCTCAAGGTTGGATAATTCTTGATCGATATCATGTACTGTATTGCTAGTTGGATCAGAGACAAATTTCAAGATTTTACACATTAACCAAGGTCTGAACACATATTGGTTCTAGAGTCTTCCTAACCCAGTGACCAATCAAAAGACTATGATAAGAAGTAGATTTGTTCTCTATAGTATTCAATTCAATCATGACTAAAAAGGCATACAATTATATACTGAAGATCCCTGAACACACAGCACACCAAATAGGAAATCCAAATTGAAGCAAATCCATAAGTCGTAGAGGGCGAAACAAACAATACATAATTAGTTCATATTAATCAAGCGATGGTTAAATGTATAACAATGGTGAATAGGTCCACTGATAGCTTACAATATAAATAATAAAAATCCGGAAAATACCTCCAATAGTTTCAATTTTCTGAAATATTTGTCCTGTTCAGTAATATTCACGATAACGAGATAGAAAGACAGTAAATACTTCAGTTCATTTTTCTAGGATTGTATAATTTGACAAATATTATGGTTGTTTATTTACTTAAATTATCGTTAGAAATTATTGACAGAAAAAGAAGCCGATCCTCATCGCTTTAATTTTATCCGACCTTCGAGGAAAAATCGTTCAACACCTAATTCATATATATGGTCTTTTACTATTGAACACAAAATATGACATACTACGACATTTGGTCTACTATAACTTCTTCTTTGACTAAGTAATCTCTGATCTTCCAAAAAATATACCGGTAATTTAATTGACTAACAATTAGACGAATGCGTTTTGTTATAATTATTCTCAATACAATTTTCTGATTAATTCAGTTTCAATTCCCGAACCATTAGCCTGCAGTTATCTAGTATTGTTTATATGAAACATTGCCTACTGATAATTTCTTTAAATACAAACACACAGAAACTAGGTATATTATTGCTTTCATTTTTAATAACTTGATCTACTTCTGTTACTCCGTAATTAATATATTTCTAATAATTGTTTTTAGTAATCATCATTAATTACCTGTCGAAAAACAGATTACATTTCTCAGTTATCACTACTTATAATGCGTGTATTAATGTTTGTCTTCAGATAATTTTCAGAATAGTAATAAACCTGAGGACACCCATCGTGTATGAATAGTTAGTGGACACTATGAACAGCCGCTTCACATTATATGTATATACAATACTTTTATGAATTAAACTTTCTCACCTTAGACAAAGTAGATTTTTGAGATAACTGGGCGCCGAAACCATTAGTAGTCAAAAATGCTGTAAATACTTTGTCCTCCATATTGTTGTCATTGCACCGTATTTATGAATTAACTATACATAATATCCTCATTAACGACGGAAAAACCTAATTGATATCACTGTTATTATCAGAATTATAGACTAGTTCACATGTGATATGCTAATTGTAAAACAAATATGTTGCCATTTTATTTTTCTTTACATGACTGTTGTCAGGCAACTCAAGATGTGTTTTTTTTTTCACTTTAGATTGACGTAATTCAGTGAAAAATGTAGTTGAACAGCATAAATATCAGACATATTATTAAATTAAATAAATGAGACATTGAACAGTCACTTCATCTGTTTAAAACTGTGCCACAATAGTTTCCGTTAAGTGACGTTGAACTCTTCACAGTATTGAAATTCTTTCAAATCTATTTACATGCTTGTAAAGCATTTGAATATGTCACTTTAAATATTGAAATAGAGTGTTATAAATTAATGCACTGTAAATCACTTTAAAGATAATTTCCTTGATACTCTAACCTCATATAGAGAACCACTGAATGTCACTTATTGCTAGTTTAAAGTCTCTTCTTGTTTATATTCTTTACTGAGTTTTAGTAAGAGATGAAAACCGATTTTATCTAGAATAATCCTCAAAATACTCTAATCTCAGTGATAAGAACTATGTGCTCATTAAGGATAAGCATCAAGATCAATATTATTGAGTGATGGTTATAGTGTTTTTGCAAGTAAACCTAATAAATAAAGTATTACACCTTCACCTGAGAAACATAATAGACCTTAGTTTTATACAGTGGCAAATTTCACAAGTGCACTACTGAGTAGTTTGAAACTTAAAACAAAGTAATTATCCAGTATTCTCTGGTTTTTATTAGATTTATTAGTTAAATCAGTTTAGTATACAAGTAGCGTATAAAATCTAACATTATTACCCATAAATATTCGAAATGGGGAATCCTACTGGTTTAGTTTAAATTACTTGGGATAAAATACCTGCTTACATATGTGGATGATACATTAGCAGAGTTTCCGTCAATGATAGGAAATTTCTTGGATTTATTCCTATCTTTTACGTTACATACGAACTTCTTGATAGTTAACTAATTAAATGTATTCTTTGAAAAGATAATTGATTCACATAAAAACATTTATTTTATTTCATCTGTAAAAGAAATGAATATCATTGGTAATATGATGATAGGTAACATGAATTCTACCTATTTACCTACCTACCTACCTACCTACTTACATTCAGTTTAACTGAATAGGAATAAAAAAAAATTGTAAAAAAATGTGATTGCATTAATTCAACAAAAATTGTGATTAATTCAATTTTGTATTATGTTATGTAATACTTTTTTTTCTTTCTTTCAAACTCCTGAGAATAGAATTCAAGCCATAGATACAATTTTGTTATTTTAATCAACTTTATTTGATTTTTCTCTGATAAATATTAAAATTCAATTTAAATAAATAAATTATATAATTTAATAGATACTGACTAAAAAAAGGAATAAGAATTTGAAATAATTCTGAGGAAGTAACAAACCGATACATCTATTGTTAAATCGATGAAATCTAAGAATTATCAGATAGATGTTTCATTGACGTTTTTTTAGTTTCTTAGTACAATTGTACTTAAAAATCTCAAGATTTTCAAGTTTTAATAGTAAGTCACTATGTTTGAAGTGATTATGAGTTCCAACAGTTGAGATCATGAGTCAATTGAAGGTAGACCACCATGGAAAAGCTAGAAGCACTGGACGGCCGTTTCATCACTGATGACAATGGTGGATGTGTCGCTCAATTTTGTGGATCAGTTGAAGTTAGACAGTAACACCGTTGGATGCCAGCTCAGTAGTCTAGTTGGTTAAGCACCTGGCGCGGGACTGATAGGTCCTGGGTTCGAATCCCGCGAGGCGGGGTCGTGGATGTACACTGCTGAGGAGTCACACAATAGGACGAGACGGTCGTCTAGTGCTTCCAGGTTTTCCATGTTTGTTTAGCTTCAATTGACTCATGATCTCAACCTTTGAAATTACTATAATATCCACAAAACCCCTTCTGATTATGAGTTTACATAGTCTAAGAACGGAACAAAGACACTGTGACCAAATATAAATAAGCTGGCTGCTGTTCCAATGCATCTCAGCTCCGCTAACTAGAGAGAGAAGTCCAAGTTCGAATGGAGAAATATATTCCACAAGCAACTAGAAGCACGAGCAACCACGACAAGTCTAGTCGGAAATACATCCATTTTTGATTAATAATCAGAATAAATCACATACATGAAGAATAATTCATACAAGAGTATCGTATATGATACGGAATAAAATGTCATAAGGGAAAATGAAACAAACACTATACTGAGTGATCATCAAATTGAATGAAACGGAATTAATGTTGAATAAAAATCATAATGAGTAAATCAATTTAATTTTGACTTTTCATTCGGTCATAACATGAGTAAAATATCATTTCAGTTAATGAATCTTTAAGTTATTGACTCGGATTATAAACTTTAATCCGTTTTGTGATATACTGCAATTTTCAGTGAATGTCATCGAGAGATTATTGCCAAAAATCAAACCAATGGGAGATACAACTAAAACAAAGAAGTAAACAATGACAGTTTTAAGATCAACAACATCGAAGTCTACAGGACAAGATGTGAACCATATGTGGAGAAATTCGAACACTTCACTTCTACCTGAATTTTGTGCTGATGATCTTCAGAAGAACGATGAAAGCTCCACGACCAAACCATTCAGCTCAGGGAACAAAACTCTATCAAAAAGAAATTATTGCTTTATTTGTGATATTATTAATTTGAGATGTTCTGGGTTTCTAGTAGAGATTTTAATGGACCGATGTGAACTTATTTAATTATGAGCACATGAAGTAGTTAAGTTAAAAAAAATAAAATTATAACATTCGAAAACGATCTTCTGATTACTTCAGGTGTAATGATTTTCAAAGATACTCGAAAATAATAACAGTAATGACAGTGGAGTTTAATATGTGTCGGGTGGAGACAGTTATCCACTTCAGACAATGGATGAAGGGTTACGCAAGACTATGGGTTGATTGGAGTTAGATATTTACACCGTTGGATGGCGCCTCAGTGGTCTAGGGGTTAAGCGTTTGCACGTGAAACCAAACGTCCTGAGTTTGGATTCCACGTTTGGAATCGTTGTTGCTGGCTGCTCAGGAGTCCCGTACTGGGACGAAGTTGCCTTTCAGTGTTTCCAAGCTTTCAATGGTGGTCTAGGTTAGATCGATTCATCAATTTAACTATCAGAAACATTACTACAGTCTCTACAAATCCCCATTCTGATAACAATGAATTTATCTCTCAACTAATTTTAAATCAAATCTAATTAACTGCTGGATCATTAAAAGAAGTGTGTTTTGACCTGTATTGTTCGACGAGATAGACTTTAGAGTACTAGCGTTTTCTACTATTTTCTTGAAATTTTCAATGAATGTCTTGGATAATATTATCTGCAAATATCAAAACAAGCTAAATGTTTGGATTACTGTTGCTATCTATATTAATATTCAAACATAATACATTCCATTATGAAATAATATGATATGGTTAAATTTTTAAAAATGGTATTTGAATTTTGTCCTTCAGTCAAGATGGGCATCAAGCCGTCAGAGCTTAGAGCGAATTACAGCGAAACCATATATAAGAAGTGATGTGAATGGTAGTCAACTACAACGTTATTTCACATTTCCCATCTATTATCGTGTACCACATTATGAAGAAGGTTATTGGACACAACCATATTTCGATTGTGATGGTCTGGTAAAAGATTGGCTTATTACATATGCAACGCCATTTTTCGGTGTTGTCGGTGAAGAAAAAGCTTTAAGATTTATGTAAGTAATATTTTTATTTTTTTTTAATTTGAATTTTGTATTTATTTTGCACATAGAAATGAACCTCTAAATGAAGATCTTTCACAGTAGTTTGTTAATTTTAAAGTTCAAAGTACAAAACGTCAGATCTCATTGTTCAGTAACAATTAGCAGTCAATAAAAAGCACAATAGCATGATTCTAGTTTTATTCAAGCTGTAGGTTTAATTAAGTCAAGAAAATTCAGATTTGAGTAATTTTAGATCCATTTAAACTAGGTTAAATATCAAACAATACTGCTCAGTGTATATGTGACGTTGAAAGATGGTTTTCAATTTAATCGAAGTACAGAATATATAAGAACTACAGAAGTCTTCAGGCCAATGTAATTCAAGTATTTAGTTATATGCTTACGCTTATGTGTGTCAGAAAGTACTGTGACAGTAGTCATGTGCTGAATGACATCTCTACAATGTGTAAGAGGTAGTCAGTTGTAGCAAATACGTTTCCAAGGAGGTGATGAACACCTACTCTTCCAGGTGGGCGAATATACCTATATGTATGCTACGAAATGTATGGGATAAAACCTGTGTGTTACCGGTGTGCATGTAACGTATATTTGCTCACACGGTAGGTATACTTGTGTGTAAACCAAGGGACACTCAAATGAAAGTTCGTGTGTTACCTAGTATGCATGTAGACTATCCCTATCCAGGGTAAGTGAAAACTTTAAAAATCACTTACTTGCTTTTCTTATGATACCCAGATACGCTCAAAGACTTGCGGGGCCGCTGTTCCCCATAAAATCACATCCATGCGGCGGGTTTGTGAGACTTGAAAACACGGAATCCATCCCAGAAGGGCATGTAGATTTAACTACAAAAGGCTTTATCAACCAATCTTGTTGGAATACCTCATCACAGCATTATCACATATATTAAATAAAAAGTTTTCGTGTCAATATTTTGTCAGTAGTGAAAAAGCAGCAAGATTTGTTAAATAGTTGGTTCTGTGATCTTTAAGTACAATTTAATAATACCAGTTTATTTAACTTTCAGTTACACTAAGAAAACATTGACAACATCTGATACAACCTCAGTAATGATGAAGTTGTTTTACTTGTTATTGATTGGTGGCATCAATGTATATTCTATTAGCTTTTTTTCCTTGTTTAATAATAAATGAAAGTCATTATCTGCAAAGGTTCGTTTAAAGACAATAACCGATTACAGTCTTAAACAACAGAGAGAAAATACAAACACTTACAAGTAAAATTCATACACATTGAAAACAACAATGGCTAACTGGCCCCAATAGCACAGTTGAGTAATGCGTTGGCATTAAGGGTAAAAGATCGCAAGTCCTAGTAATAGTATAAACACTGACACTACAATATTGTTTACATTCAGTTAATAAGTTAGAAATAAGATAAAATGTATGTCCTAATTCTCTCTACTAGTTTATATCAAACTTGATCATTTTTAATTATAGTTAAATTTTATTTCTTATTTTCAGGGGTGTTGTAACTGCTTCTGTAAAGCTAACATCATTGGATATAAATCAATGCCCTCAATCGTTTTATACACCGAATTTCTTTAAAAATACAGCAAGATGTGATTTCCGAAGCACATATGTATGTTCTACTCTTTGTTTGTCCATGTATTTAATAGAATATATATGTATGTAATGAACAAACACTCAAGTGGGATAGACCAATTTACTGTTTAGTACGTAATCACACAGCGATTTAGCAAAATGTTCAAGTCATACGGCACTTGCACATCTTTGCTTTATCTCACAAGTTCCACTGTTCTTTGATCGCTGTCGTTATCCTGATGGCTTTTAGTTTCCTTCTCTCTTCACTTCATTCTTAGCTTCCCAATCTTCTGTTGCCAGGCATTCCACTCCCACCGGGTAGTACATACTACTTATATCTGCAAACATAAGTAGTGCACACCATATATATATATATATTTAGAGAGAGAGAGATCAACATGATTTGACTAGTCATAATAAAGATCACTTAAGATGCAAACTGATATCAAATTATTTTAGTCCATACAGTGGAATGAAAACATTGTTTATTCAACAAGTTTACCAAAATGGCTCACCTATGGATTTAAAACTAAAAAAATCTAACCCCGTTTTATTAATAAAAGAAATTGCAGTAATTCTTCAACTTGATTAAAGCAGTAATAACTTAGATTATTATACTGTTCATAACATTTTACATAGCAACATAAATATTTATAAGTGTATCCTGGTAAATTCTCTTTTTATTGTATAGTCTTCCCGATGTTTGTAATTTTTTTTTGTAGTGTAGTAAAAAAATGGCGGGGAAAATGATTACATTCAGAAAAAAACTAATGACATATTTGGACCAGTTTCTTTTTTTTAATTAGATT